ATTGAACACAGGTGGCGATGCGGCACGATTACTACAGGACAAAGAAAAACACAACAAAACGGAAATAACAAAAAGAAACAGAACAATTAAACACTTCCAGGAAAAACAGTTTGTCGGCAGATGTACCACGAACACAGAAACAACAAAAGGAAACAAAACAAATAAAAACTTCCAGGAAGAGCACTTAGTCGGCAGATGTACCACGAACACAGGCCGCGCGAACAATGGCCGGGCTAACAAAAGCCGGGCGAACAAAGACCGGGCGATCGAGTGGTCGATGAGCACGTCCGCACGTGACGGGTGCCTCTATCGGAATACATAAATTTTCCGATAAGGGTTAACCATTCGTCGAGAGCAGGCCCGGATCGTTATTTATTAATTTATTTTTTCAGTTGAAAAATCACAATTAAACTTTTCTTGTTTCTTGTTATGAATATGATAATTGTTGGACCAAATTCGTTACAAGATACTTCAAGATACTTACATACAGTAGTGTACTGTGAATAAATTAGAAAATCCGTAAAATAACGATTCGGATGACTTCATAAACGTTTGCAAAGGAGCTCACGGTACTATTCGTAAATACTATAAGGCTATTGTTGTCAGCATGAAAAAAATCGTACTTTCAATTTTCTATACATTGTGATATTTTTTTATTGTGGGGTATCTACCCGTGCGGACTCACAAGACGTCCAACCACCAGTAATTACGCTAATTATAATTTTGCAGGTTTGATTTTTATTACCCGATGTTATTCCTTGACCGTGGAAGTCACTTTTGAATATTTTTGAAATACGTATTTCATTAGAAAAATTTCAGAATTGGGGCGTCCAATCCTTTAGGTTACGACAACTTCAAAATAAGTCCTCAACAGGATCTCTGGAAAGCAGTGTCAATGACATTAGTGTGACGTGTTTCAACTTGGTTTAATATAATATATCACAATATTTAATCCACATATTAAAATATATCACTTAATAAAATATATTTTATTGTAATGGTACTTACTATATAGTGCTTTCTAGATTATTTGGTAAGGAAACATGAAATCAGTTATTAATCTTTTATGATTTATCAACACCTGTTTTATTATCCTTCTATATATAACAATAAGATAATAATAACTAGGTTTATCAAAAAAAGTATGATTCGAGGAATGTTTTATTTCTTTAAACTACTGTTTGCATTTGAAATATTATATAATTTGACACGATTACCAGACCTATTGACCTATTTAGTGCAGTTAGCACTAAATAGAGAATTCAAAAGCCTATTTATTTTTATTTATTTTATTTATTTATACACACAAAAGGAAGACATAGTACAGAGCAATAGGAAAATTATGTACAAAGGCACTGCTTATTTCTTTAAGAAATATCTTCCAACAGACGTGTGAGAGGATTATGAGAATAATAATTAAAAGTGATGAGTGTGTGTAGAACAGCTAAAATAACAAATACAACATGAGAATTAAAGTAATACACATAAACATAGCAAATATTGTTAAACTTGAATACAAATAATATATGATGAACAGCCTATGAATAGCTGATAAGTTAATCAAAGTTTTTATGTTTGGCTGGTGGTTTCTGGAAGGCTAACTACATGAATACCGCTACCCACACTGAGATGTGAGGTCGATTTTTTTATCAACCCACGGACGGTAACGGCTTGACATAGGCCTCAATAGTTTTCATTACTTAAACAACCATATATATTTAATAAGTATTTCTAGGCTTCAAATCGGAATGCCTGCTAGACTTTTTCTGTAGAAACCTACCTGTGGGATTTCCTCAGTATACCCATCTATTTACGTACATCGGGCGTCTTATTCACAATAAACTTACATAATGCGAAAATCATCAATATTTAATGTACGTACAGATAATTTTGTACGAAGCTACAATTATATCTTAAATTCTTAATCGCCGGGTTATCGCTTACTTGCTGGGGGCGATTGTAAGATTGCTGTAAGTAATTAATTTACAAAAATTGATACCTTTATTTCGTACAGAGGAAATTTATTTGGAAAATTCATTAGGCCGGCCTTCCGCTTACACTTTGAGGGTAGTTTTGCGGGGGGTTTTAGTCGAGTCAACTTTGGCTTATAACAAATCTGTGAGCTCCGGGTGAATCAGAACTCAAGCGAGACAGACTGGGTGTAAGGCGATGCAAATCATGCATGTTTGAGCTCTCGGAATTGCTGAAGAGCGACGCTGCCTATGAAAAAAGATAATAACAACCGCTCTATCCTTTTTTTAATTTTTTTTATTACTTAGATGGGTGGACGTGCTCACAGCCCACCTGGTGTTAAGTGGTTACTGGAGCCCATAGACATCTATAGCTTAAATGCACTACCCACCTTGAGATATAAGTTCTAAGGTCCAGTATAGTTACAACGGCTGCCCCACCCATTAAATCGAAACGTATTACTGCTTTACGGCAGAAATAGGCGGGGTGGTGGTACTTACCCGTGCGGACTCACAAGAAGTCCTACCACCAGTATCAAGAGGTCCTACCGTCAGTAACAAGAGATCCTATCGCTAGTAACAAGAGATCTTACCGCCAGTAACAAGAGGTCCTACCGCCAGTAACAAGAGGTCCTACCGCCAGTAACAAGAGGTCCAACCACCAGTATCCTTCAATTCGATCTGCATAATATAATCCAAAAATATATCAAATTGATTACTTTAAAAATGTTATTACAAGAAATAGTTCACGCACGGGAGATTTATGACGAAAATAGTTTTGCGTAAAACAAAAATTCAAATATAATTTCTTTTTTTTTTAAGGCTGAAGGTCCGTACGAAAAACTTATTTGTGTCTTTATACATAATTAGGTAACAAGGTATTAAGTAATGACGTATGTAAAAAAAAAACATGCAATCAATTGATATGATAATTAACGCAAAATTCATTCACAATAAAATTTTGATTAATTATTGCGATAATATCTTATTTTATTATTATGTTGTTATTATATAGTTAGTAGCTTATAAATTTTAGTTATGTAATTACATATTTGTTTTCATATCAAAAATTGCTAGTCGAAAATGGTACTAAGCAGAGCATATTTTTTGTAGGATACATGGTCGGTGGGACTGAAGAGCTTCTTAAGTAGTTAACGTGAAACCGAATTGCGGAAAGACCTGGTCGTCTATTCCATTCCAGTAACGAAGGTCGACAGATGACAATCAATGTGAATATATGAAATATGTGAATGATTCAATCGCGTCTCTTCATTAGACATGAAGGCGTCGTGGTCTAAAGGATAAGACGTCCGGTGCATTCGTGTTGAAGCGATGCAACGGTGTTCAAATCTCAGGCGGGTACCAATTTTTCTAATGAAATACGTAGGTACTCAACAGATGTTCACGATTGACTTCCACGGTGAAGGAATAACATCGTGTAATAAAAATAAAACCCGCAAAATTATAATTTGCGTAATTACTGCGCGGGTAGGTACCACCGCCCTGCCTATTTCTGCCGTGAAGCAGTAATGCGTTTCGGCTTGAAGGGTGGGGCAGCCGTTGTAACTATACCGAGATCTTAGAACTTATATCTCAAGGTGGGTGGCGCATTTACGTTGTAGATGTCTATGTTAACTCCAGGTGGACTGTGAGCTCGTCCACCCATCTAAGCAATAAAAAAAAAGACACGATCAGACCCAGCGTCAAATCTTTCAGGCAATGGACGTTTCAAAATAATTTGTTTAATTTAAAAATAATCTTCCATTATCATGTCAATAATTAATTGGATTAGATAATGGATAAATTAAGGGTATATAAACCACGAAGAGGTAATTTTAAAAACAGGTTGAATTCATTAAGAGAGGTAAGATAATGTTTTCAATATAAGTTTTTTTTTCGGGATCATTGTATTCTCTTTTTGAATTATTACACTTCTAAGAATTTTCTTTTTACCATTTGCCCACGAATTGGTGTGAGCAAAAACTTGATCTATGTTGAAGTTTGATTTGTCTAACAGTTTACGATCGGTCAAGATCCCAGCCAATCTTGGGAATGGGAGATTTTACATTTGTAAATGCGGTTGGGATGTTGATGTAAAATATAGGGTCTTGGATCTTTTAGTTTAGGATAAATGTCAAATAATATATATATTACGACCGCTATGTCAGTTCTCAACTTATATAAATACTTTTGTAGTACCTTAAGTGTATTTCTCTTATTTATTCACATATCGTCTTCTCGCATTAAAACTGTATAATCTCAAAACTTACTAATTTTACAAGAGAGTGTTTTAAAAGTTTACCATGTGGTATTTTTTATATTAATCATCTTTGCCAAATTTATTTTTTATTTTTATCAGATGCATTATCTGTATTTTAAAGTAAAATAAAATTATATATTAATTTTGTTAATAGTAGTCAAAATATAGGAACACCAAAAAAAAATTAATACTAAACTACGCTCTTTTGACAGTATTTATGACAAAAATACTGGTGATACCAAATGATTCCGCATATCTATATATTAATACGTGAAGCAAAAACTTTGTACACCTTTTTACGAAAATTACGCGGACGGAGGATTATGAAATTTTCCACACTTATAGAGAATATAGAGAAGAAATGCACAATGCTAATATTTTTTTTAAATAATGCATAAAATATACATTAAATCAATAAAGAAAACATTACACACACTACATACCATGTATTTGACGCACACACGCGTGCATACTATTTATTGTCAAACTTTTGTTCTTGACGTCTGTGGTTTGTGATTATAGAAGTATAAAATACAATCATAATAGTGTACAAACTTACAATTCCCATTAATTATAGTCGAATTTCGACTACTGCGGTATCACTCACTAGTTAACTCAATTTCGAATATTTCTGGAAATTGTACACTTTTAATGCGAAAAGACGATATGAAGTAAATAATATTTTTCTTTTAACATGAAATCAATTATTAGAATTTATTAAAACAGATGGGATATTAAATAATTTCTGTTTTAGCTAAACCGAGCTAACAATGAAGGCTTTCATCTTTGCCCTTGCTGTTGCCTGCGTTGCGGCTGTACCATACGGCGATGTCGGTAAGTGAGCCAACTTACTGGTGGTAGGACTTCTTGTGAGTCCGCGCGGGTACCATACCACCGCTTTACCTATTTCTGCCGTGAAGCAGTAATGTGTTTCGGTCTGAAGGGTGGGGCAGTCGTTGTATTCTTCAATGAGACGGGTAAAGATGAAGTGGTAATTTTAGGTCACATAGTCGAAGGGGGTGGGAGTAGACTAACTATCTTTTGAGAGTCTTTTGAGTTACATCCTTATCATGTAGGATCCTCTTACAGTGACAATCTAACGTGTTTTTTTTTTTTTTTTCATAATCACAAAATGATTATCTTAATCTATATTTTTTTCAATTATCAATTATCTTTATCAACTGGTGGTAGGACCTCTTGCGTATCCGTGCGGGTGGGTACCACCGCCCTACCTATTTTTGCCGTCAAGCAGTAATGCGTTTCGGTTTGAAGGGTAGGGCAGCCGTTGTAACTATACTGAGATCTTAGAACTTATATCTCAAGGTGGGTGGCGCATTTACGTTGTAGATGTCTATGGGCTCCAGTAACCACTTAACACCAGGTGGGCTGTGAGCTCATCCACCCATCTAAGCAATAAAAAAAAACTAAGCAATTGATTTCGATCAGTAAACGTACCTGGGTGGTCTTATAGGTACAATTTTGTGCAGAAAGTGACAGGTTCATTATTGAATAAACCACCTAAATGTTTGATTTTATCTACTAAAAATATTTCGTCTTCTCGCATTAAAACTGTATAATCTGAAAACTTACTAAATTTTACAGGAGAGTGTTTTAAAGGTTTAACATGTGATATTTTTAATATTAATCATCTTTGCAACATTTATTTTTTAGTTTTTACCAGTTACATTATCTGTCTTTTTAAGTAAGATAAAATTATGTATTAATTTTCTTAATAGTAGTCAAAATATAGGTAAACTAAAAAAAAAAACTAAAACTAAGCTACGCTCTTTTGACAGTATTTATGAGAAAAATACCGGTGATACCAAATGATTCCGCATATTAACTCAATTTTGAATATTTTTTTAAATTGTACACTTTTAATGCGAAAAGACGATTTAACTTTAAAGTAGTTAGTCTATCATATATTGATTTGTGCTGTTCTTAAAATCACTGATTCGCGTATGGAAACATTGATAAATTTTATTTGTATTTAGAGATTTTTTTCGCTAAACAGCCGTCATATTTGTGTATACTGTGACATTGGCAAAATCAAAGCCTAAGCAGTTGGAGGCAAATTATTTTAGAAAAAAAATATGTAAAATTTTTCTACCGAAGGAATTGCTAGCCCCAAATTCTCTAAAAATAAATAAATACCTAAATTGGCATAGCCATTATAATGAGGTCTGTGCTTCAATGCTTCTAAGAAAACTAAATGATCATAGTGTTCAGATTGCGGACATTAACAGAAACGTTTTTTTTAGATCTGGCCGAATCCCAGCGCATTGTTGATGGCATAATCGAAAACTGGATCTCAAGAGCCCAGTTACGTTTGTCTCCATTTGATCCTATCGTGAACAATGAGTACGCGGGCGGCTGGCATCTTCCGGGAGGAGAAAAGTAACTATTAAATACATTTTATTTTCTTGTTATTTTAAATGCACATCTATATCAGTTAACATTATTTCATTATTTATTGTATTTATTTGTTCTTTTATTAATTTTAATTTTATATTAGTAGTTGACAATTTTAATTTTAATAATTTTGATTTGGTTTCATTTTTGTTTGTTTTTGTTTTTAGTCATTCTGATAAATTATAATTTTAATTTTATTGTATTTTGATTTAGATGTTATGTAATTGTATGTGACATTTTATGGGCTTAAGTTGCCTGAAATAAACGCATTTCATTTCATTTTATTAATACGTGAAGCAAAAACTTTGTATCACTTTTTCCGAAAATTGCGCGGACGGAGTCTGTACAAATGTAACCAACAATAGAAACTTGAACTAATGCTGAATTGGTTTTGTTTCTCCAGCATCCTGAAAGTCCGTGGCTCCGTAGAAGGTGTCAACGCCGCCGGCTTCAGCACCTTCGAATTGGATAGCATCTCCTACAACTTATTCACTGGTCAACTTCACTTGTCCTTGAGCTTGAATTCTGTTTCGGCCTCAATAGGTAAGCTGCATAAATTGTTCGCATAATACTTACATTTTTAATACGCTATTATTAGCTTCAGACGTATGTATGTTTGTAACGGAATCTTCGAACATGATTTTGACCCCCTTCAAAACGTCGAAATTTGGTATACTTATTAAAGGCCCTTGACAATTAAAACAAAAAATTAAAATTGAAAAAATTTAAATTCAACTAAAAAATGAAAAATAAATAATAGTTTAAAAAAACTAACAAAATACGCTTTTATAGAAAATCCAACTAGAAAATAGAAAATAAAGTTTGCATATATCAGTAGGTGCATGGTATCAGTAGTTATAAATATTTTGTGAACAGATATGAGTAGAAGGGTTATTTTGATAATATCCTGAAAAGCACGCCACGCTTTTTTAAAATAAAATAATTTTTTCTTACACTATTTTTAATTAAAAATTTATTAAAATTTATTTTCAATTTTTTAGTTGGATTTTCTATAAAAGCGTATCTTGTTAGTTTTTTTTAAATATTATTTATTGTTACTATTGCGATTTATTGAATTAACTTGCAATTTCAGACGCTGCTGAAGGAGAAGTCCAAATTTTCGACCGTAAACTGACCGCAGACGCTTCTGGAGGGTAATCTATACTTTCTTAAAACACATCTGAAATGCTGGTGAAATGCTGAATTTTACTGGTGGTAGGACATCTTGTGAGTCTGCTCGGGTCGATACCACCACTCCGCCTATTTCTGCCGTGAAGCAGTATTGCGTTTCGGTTTGAAGGGTGGGGCAGCCGTTGTAACTATACTGAGACCTTAGAACTTAAAACTCAAGGTGGGTGGCGCATTTACGTTGTAGATGTCTATAGGCTCCAGTAACCACTTAACACCAGATGGGCTGTCAGTTCGTCCAACCATATAAGAAAAAGAAAAAAAACGAGTTTATTTTCGTTTTCAAAATGGCGTCTTTTAGTGCTGATGCTGATATAGTTTTTGATTAACTTAATTTTTTTTCTGTTTCAGAATCGCCGTGTCCGACGTGCGCGTTCGCGCTGGTGCCATTGTCGCTGTCGGTGTCGACGGATACAGCGTTAGGAACGTCGAACTTGAGCTGTCTATTGGAGAAATCAACGTACGGCTTCTTTACTTTTGATACTTAAAAATGTCATTTTTTTTTGGCGTCGGATGTTTGTGTTGCCCGAACATGGCTTCAAATACTGGGACAGTGGGGTGATTATGAAATTCACCTCACTTAACGACCCTTTCATAACTTTTACACCGGAGCCTCCAATCTCTACGGAGACAGAACTCGAAAAGAGCAGCGGGGGTGCATGGCGCCAACTTACACCGTCGTAATTGAAGTCCCCCGATTGTTGTAATCTGTGTGGACGGTCTCAGAGTCACCGTGATTTTTCTGAAAGCAATAAGTAATAAGCTCACTATTGACTCTTAGCGTTTTAATATTTGATAATATCTAATTACTGATGGTGGGACCTCTTGTGAGTCCGCACGGGTAGGTACCACCACCCTACCCATTTCTGCGGTGAAGCAGTAATGCGTTTCGGTTTGAAGGGTGGGGCAGCCGTTGTAACTATACTGAGAACTTAGAACTTATATCTCAAGGTGGGTGGCGCATTTACGTTGTAGATGTCTATGGGCTCCAGCAACCACTTAACACCGGGTGGGCTGTGAGCTCGTTCACCCATCTAAGCAATAAAAAAATAAAAATAAAATTAATAGGACCAACATAATAAAGAATCCAACCAGTTCGCCTAAAATTGTTTTCCTGATACAACTGTTATATTTATTTCTAGTCTGAAATCCAATTGAACCTGTTCGGGCGTGAGGTCGGAGGACGCATCAGCGACTTCTTGAACAAACTCCCCTACAACTTAGAAAAATACCAAGTAAGCAATAGTGTTGTAATTTTTACATTAGCATAAGTGATTTAGCTTTTTTTGTTTGTATCGCGATCAAAGTATTAAATTTTAAATATTACAAAGAACCTGATTTGGATTTGTATGCTTTGGTTGTTGATTAACATTATGTTTTGTTTAGTCCCAGGTCAGCCGGGTTTTGGAGTACCTCTCTGAATACATCATCAACAGACTTCTGTCCAGACCTTCTGATGCGCAATAATACCTGTTTTATTTATAAACATAGCTTACAATTCGACAATAAAATGTTCTCTTATTAACCTAACGCTGTCTTAATGTAACCCCATTTCACGGATCGATAATTAAATTTTCATGCATAGCGTTTAAGCTTAAATATCATTCAATTCATCTTTCAATCATCATCATTCAATTCTGTTAAAAATACTAACATTATTGGATGAATGGTTTTAACATTTTTAATTTTGAAATCCTTGTAACGGTAAAAGTTGATTATTGACCATTACATCAACTGGTAGCCGCAGTGGCGAAGATGAGACTCAACTTTAATATAAGATTTCCCAGGTTGCCAAAAAAAACCACCAATAGTGCCACTATTTAGAAATTTAATGCATATAGCATATACACACACACAAACAAAAAAAAGTTTATACAAAAATAAAAGTTTTTAAAGTTGACAAATAGTTTGCATAAAAAAATATAGGGGCTTATATTGATAAATGATTTGAAGGTAGCCGAATGATGATGGTGAAATGTTACGTATTTTAAGTGATAAAAAAATATTGTAAAAAAAATGTGATTCTGAAGTGTCTAGTCCTGGGATCTAATGAGAATATTTCAGCTCCTGCGTGAAATGACAATTAGACGATACTAAGTTTTATTAATAAATTAATAAAGTCACGATAAACGGGAGTATTGGATCCCGATAATAATTAAATCAGGCACTATTAAACAACTTGAATGATGACCATTCATAAACAGTTATTTAAATATGCGTAGACTAGACCTTTATTACTGTAACTATTAAGCTCGGCTTCAGAATGAGTGGCTTTGTTGGTTGCATGCATTTTTATACAATCGAGAACAAAATAATTCTAAACGTCTGGGTCCATCCTCGCATAAAATAGGTGGAGCCTGAAGCTCTTAGGGGGTCGAGTCACGGATGGGACCGCGGTCCCGGCTCCCTGCTCGGCCGCGGCGGATTTCTGTGTACTGAGGAGAGCTTTGCCTCACTCGCCTCACCATCTCTTTCTGCGAGATGGTGCACTCGCAGAAGTCGAGCATAGCTTTTTAGGACTCGTCGCCATCAAGTATCGACACGATGCCAGGCAGCGACAAGTCTGGTCCTATCTTTGCGACTAGGACACGGCGCTGCACCTCCCAAGCGGGGCAGACAGCGAGCGTATGCTCCGCCGTGTCCAGGTCGTGTCCACAATTGTGACGTGTCCGGGAGGGTAGTTTATTAAATTGGCTACATTTTAAAAAAAAACACATTTTTTTTATCAATGTCCATTATACCCGAGGGCTCATTGGGTGGTTGATGATCCCACATGTTGAAACGCCTGGTTCGTTCTATGAGCTAATCTCTCAATGCAATAAATAATTTAAATTTTATGTACCACCACCCCACTATTTCACACTATTTCTGCTGTGAAGTAGTAATGCGTTTCGGTTTGAAAATTGGGACAGCCGTTGTACTATAAAAATGTGATTTAGAATTCATGCCTCAGGGTGAATGGCAATATTCATGTTGGTGCTTTTAGGTGCCCCAAGTACCGGTCATCGTTCTCGTCGAGCCCGTTGCTTGTGACGAAGGGCTCGGCGAGTAAATTAACCCACAGACACAACCCAATGAGTTTCTCGCCGGATCTTGTCAGTGGGTCGCGTTTCTGATCCTGTGGTAGATTCTGCGCAGCACGGTTCTTGCTAGGGTTCGTGTTAGCAACATCGTCAGGTTTGAGCTCCGTGAGCTCGCCTACTAATTCGGCGAATCTAGAATAACCCCACGAGGCTACTAGAATAGGTAGGAAAAAAAGTATTCATCTTGAATATATGTATGGGCTCCGGTAACCACTCTACACCAGGTGGGCCGTTGGGCGGAATAATAGGAAAGGACAATTTTAATCTCTTTTAATCCCTTAAACTTAATGCTTTGCACGTGACGGTATTTCTGGTCTGGTTAAAATTGGTTAATATCGTAAAAGAAATGCAGTCACCGAATGAAGTACATTACGAGACAGGGATAAGTGGAATAGTACTTGCCAAAATTAATTAATACCTTTGGATGAAGATAGTATTAGTGAATGTTTTTCGTTTTGTTTAAGTCCGTTTGAGTATTAATGGTAAATTTAGACTCATTCCAACTATTAGCATCAGGGAAATAGCTCTGACGCTGTCCAATGCTGGAATAGAGGTAATTATGAATTTCAAATGATTTACTTAATAAAACCTAAGTTTGCCGCTTTTGTTCGCATAGCTTTGTAAATATTACCTTCTTTAATCCACAATGAAAAGTTCGTGCAACAACGCAGAATCAAAATTGCTGCTTTAGAAAATTGCTTACATAAAATGGTACAACGTCGGATGAGGCATTCAGTCTTTTAGCTCATTTAACTCCATCACATCGATCTGTATGATATTGTTTTTCTTTAAATTCTTTTTAATTCGAGTTTTGGTGTTCTTCTCAGGCGCGTGACTTTAGTTTCAACAGATAGTTTTTTAGAATGAGTATTTTTAAAAAACTTTCACAGCAAAACGCTTGAACAAAGACTTCATAATAAATAATATGACTATCGTCTCTATTATTAAAAATAAAAAAAATGTGTGCAATTCACACGTGGTAGAAGTGAAACCTTCCAAAATTAAAATACAATTATCCTAAACGTCTTAAGTATATGTAAAATTTTGTCATTAGTAAATAATTGTAAGGTAGCGCCCTCTGTGAATTGATATTTTAATTTCACGTATAATCCTAAATTAAAATTCACTACAAGAGCTTTCATACACACGTAAGTATTAAAAAATCTCACAGATGGCGCTGTATTACATAGTATGTATATTTCTGTCTCATTCTTTGCTGGCTTCATCCTACACATTTTTGTATTTGTGTCTCTTACCTGTCGTTTTTTCCGTTGCATCCGGTTTGAAATCACAACGATTCTAAAGAAGTTTTCACTTCAAAAAATATCTTTCTCTTAAATAATGTCTGTGGCATGAATTAGAATTTTCATCATCCTGAAATTATCGTAAATAACAAATTTGTCATCAAACCGAACGCCTTTTGTACTTTATTGAGCAAAAATTAGAGAGACATTTTTTCTATGGAGAAAGGAAAATCTTGTTTTTTATCTAGTACTAGCTGACCCGGCAGACTTCGCAGTGCCTCAATCGATAAATAAAATACCTAAAGGGATCCGTCCGACGGGGAACACATCAAAGGAAAAACAAAATTGTTATTTTTATTTAATTCCGAGCATTTTCATATTTATTTACCTTTTAAACCTTCTCTGGACTTCAACAAATAATTCAAGACCAAAATTATCCAAATCGGTCCAGCCATTCTCGAGTTTTAGCGAGACTAACGAACAGCAATTCATTTTTAAGATAGACTAGTTGACCCGGTAGACTTCGTAGTGCCTCAATCGATAAATAAAAGACCTAAACTTTTGTGTGGTGGTTTTTTATACTGGTGGTAGGACCTCTTGTGAGTCCGCACGGGTAGGTACCACCGCCCCACCTATTTCTGGCGTGAAGCAGTAATTCGTTTCGGTTTGAAGGGCGGCGCAGCCGCTGTACTGTAAAATCTGAGACCTTAGACTTAGAAGTCATATCTCAAGGTGGCGGCATTTACTTTGTAGATGTCTATGGGCTCCGGTGACATCAGGTGGGCTGTGAGCTCGTTCACCCATTTAAACAATAAAAAAAGCTACGACAGCAGAAGTAAGTACACATAAAAAAGGTATAAATAAAAGGTTAAATCAAAGAATTTATTCAATTCATGGTCCTTTATTCAATTTTCGTTGTGTAAATTTGAATAGCACAATTCCAGCAGAGCATTTACAGAATGTTGTTGATGATGTAGATGATGAGGTGCTCAATGTAAGCGAGGATCTCGTTCGGTATAAAAAACATACAAAAAATATTTTAAATAAATAATAGTTTAAAAAAAACTAACAAAATACGTTTTTATCGAAAATCCAACTAAAAAATAGAAAATAAATTTTAATGATTTTGAATTAAAAATAGTGAAAGAAAAAATGATTTTATTGTAAAAAATGCGTGGGGTGCATGGTGTAGTAGTTATAAATATTTTATGAACAGATATGAGTAGAAGGATTATTTTGATAATATCCTGAAAAACACCCCACGCTTTTTTACAATAAAATCATATTTCTTACACTATTTTTAATTCAAATTTATTAAAAATTATTTTCTATTTTTTGTTGAATTTCAATTTTTTCAATTATTTGTTTTAATTTTTTTTTTAATATTGCATTGTCATCGGTCCTTAATAAGTATACCAAATTTCGAGTTAATCCGACGTTTTGAAGGGGGTCAAAATCATGTTCAAAGATTCCGTTACATATACATACGTCTGAAGCTAATAAAAGCGTATTAAAAACATATGATATGAAACATGATGAAATTTTTTCTTCTTGGTTTTATCACAAACGAGATTTCAAAAGCCACCATCATGTATATACTTTTACCACAAAGTAGTCATACGTTCTGGTTTTATGGGTGAGACAACCGTTATACAATATAACTGTGATTTCGACCTCATGCCATTACGAATGGGAGTATTTATGTTGTGATATCTAAATATTTCGGTGGCCATTTATAACACCAGTATAAGAAACTAGGTAGATTAGAATATGGATAAAAAAAATAGGAAGGTCATTTAAATTCATAGTGAAAGTCAATCAAAATACGAACTGAGCGAGCCTGATTTTTCAATTAAAATTGTAAATATTATGGTGGTAGAACGTCTTGCGAGTTCGCACGGGTAGGTATCACCACCCTGCCTATTTCAGCCGTGAAGCAGTGATGCGTTTCGGTTTGAATGGCGGGGCAGTCGTTTTACTGTTAAAAGTGAGCCCTCAAATCTCATGTCTCAAGGTGGCTGGTGGGCATTTACGTTGTAGATGTCTATGGGCTCCGGTAACCACTTAAAATCAGGTGGTATGTGAGTTGGTCGTCCACCCACCGAAGCAATAAAAAAAATCTAGAACGTAATCACAAAAA